ATAACGTTATACATCATTTAACTAGTATAATTCGGTATAACAAGGTTTTTTTAATATAGAATAATCTGTACCACACCAAAGATTCGTTGTATTGTGAAATTCGTTATATCAAAATTCGTTGTATCAAGAGTTGACTGTATATATATTATAATTTTAAAATGAAATAAAAAAGCTATTTTAAATTTTTAATTTTTTAGCAAATTATTTTTTGATTTAGAATAATTTAGAATGTTCTGATCTGTAAAATTATTACTATAAAAGAAAATAATCCATATAATATATTTAATATATTTCCTGATTATATTAAAAATCTTTTAATTTAAATATATAATTTGTATTGTATTTATCAATAAATTATAACTTCTAAATGATAAAAAGAAAATTTAATTATTGTTTTGTATATCAAGCATAAAATATATATCTTAATATACAGGTATAAATAAATTTATTAGAATTAGATAGTGATAGTACTATACTTATTATTGATTATAAAATAAGTATCTTACCAAAATTAACTTGAGAACCTAAGTCAGAATTTTTTGAAAAAAAAGTTAAATTATGTATTCTATATTAATATATACTAAATTTAAAAATGATGAAAAATTAAATATAGTTATATTTAACTACTGGTCAGTAGATATAAGACAGAATACATAGTTCATAATATTATCACTTCATGAATTATTTGATATAATATTTAAAACAAAATAGATTATATTAATTTTAGATAATAGATTCTATTATTATAATAGTGAAATGATGATTATAATAGTACATTGGAAAGATTAGTATGATATTGAAGTAAAAAAATAGATTTTTTTAAAGATTAGAGAAATAAAAATAACTATTAATTCTTATCATATGTAATCAGATTTAATTTAATTATTAGGTATAGAAAAAATAATAATTAACTAATAATTTCACATAGATTATATATACTATTAAAAGATATATTAGAATTAGATTTAAAATAAAGAAGGCATTGATATAGAGAATACAATCAAAAATTTATATGGTATGTTAATAAAAGAACTAAATCCTAATTGTAAAAAATCTGATAAAAATAAAATCTTTAGTTGAAATATATAATATGAATGAATGAAAATAATAGATAAACTATTTCAGATTTTATATAAATATGCTAATTACTAAATATAGGTAAAATTACTTATTATTCTTCTATATAAATATAAAAATTATTAAAAATAGAAATTATATAATCTAATCTTACATTTCCTATATCTTCTATATCAAGATTTTTATAGAATATACTAATGTTAAATTTAAATAGCAGTTTATTTTCAGATTTGTATCAAATAATTACTAAATTATTTATTTTTAGATAACAATTTTAAGTATATATGAATACATATATCTGATGAAAATTTAGATCAAATTAGTAATAAAAATATAAATGCAAAAAAAAATTTTATATAAGAATTCACTTTGATTAATATTACTTATATTACAAAAGTAATCATATTAATTATATTTATAGTATTGACACAGAATTTTTACTAATATTTGAATTAGCATTAAAATCAAATTAAAAGTTTAAAAAGAAAGGTAATATAAAAATATCTAAAAAAAATTATTACATTATTACAAGATTTTTTTTATGCTAATAATATTTATAAAAGTAACTAATATTTAACTAATTAAAATTATCTATATGGTAAATAATAAAAAGCTTGATCTGAAATAATACTAAAAGTAAAATTGATTAATAATTGGATTAGTAAATATTTTATAGCTTGTAAATGTGAAATAGCAGCTATAGCTTTAGAATATCAAGAACAAAATTAGTAATAATACTTATATTAATAATATAAATATTTTAAAATTAAATAAAATATATTAAATAAAGTTGAAACATATAAAAATGAAAAAAAATACATAAAAAATTATAAAAATAACTTTCAAAACTTTTGCAATTGCAAATCTATATATGTTATTTTTACTAAAATTTATAGATACTTAAATAAAACTAAAATGAAATATACAAAAAATGAATTTTTTTATTATTCATAACACTTTATCATTTATTATCAATATATGTAACTTTTATCAGGTTAGATTATTCTAAAAAATTTTTAATAGAATACTATTTTTTGTATTGAACGATTATTATCTGAAGTGAAGTAAAGGACAATATATGTCTATATGCTATGAAAAAATTTTTGGTCACGTGTAAAGATGATATTGTAATATTGTGATGCTTATTTATCACCTGTTGCAACTTAAATTTTAATAATATTGCAATTTGTTGCAATATTGTGATACTTATTTGTTACCTGTTATAACTAATTGAGATATCATCTTTAGTCACATTATTACATTTTTCTGTCTGTTCACATAATCTTTAACCAATGAAATTTCTGATTTTAGAAAGTATCAAGATCGCTTCAGACTCAATAACAGTTTCCATTTTCTAGTTTATGTATAAATAATAAAAATCTCCTAAAATTTTTATATAAAAATATTACACATGATTAGCAAATTACAAATTAATTATAATATTTAATATTTTTATTTTACTTATTCAACTATTAAATATTTATTTTAATAAACTATTTAAATAAAAAATAACAAAATTGTAAAATTAGTTTATAATTTAATTATAAAATACATATTTAATTATAAATTATATAATCAATTTATAATTATATAAAAAGTTTTTTAATATTTTATAAATTATCAAATAGTATTATAATGATATAAAGATAAGTTTTTTATCAGAATTAAAGAAATGACTATATATAGAAAAATAATAAAGAGGATTTATAGTAAATTAACTGATTTATACCTTTTCTTTAAATTAAGATGAATATTAATTTGAATTACTTTTTTTTGTATATTAATAATATGATATTATTATAAATTTATTAAAATTTTATAATTTAAAGATTTTAAAAAATAAAATATAATTAAAGAAAATAATATCAATTACAGCTACCTTTATGACTTTATTTCAAGTTCATTTGAGTTAATTATTTATTGGTATTTTCCTTTAGATAACCAAAGGAATTACTTCTAATGATTAATCTTTTAACATAAAATATAGATAAAAATATCAATACAATCAAATCTCTTAAAATTAAAACTAACTTTTTCAGCACTTAAAACAAAATCAGATTAATAACTAAATAAAAAAAAGTTAAAAAATAATAAACAAATTCCTAGCTAAAATGTATGATCAATTCCAAGTTAAAGTTACTACCCAATACAGTCGAATTCAAATTACTAAGTTCTAGTAAAACTCTTGCTTTTATACTAAATAAAATGTTTTTCAATTCAGATTACAGTTTGAACCCGGTACAGGATGACAGATATTTAAATCTGAAAAATACTATGTATTCATAAAATTTAAAAAGAGAAGGGGATGATCATCACGTGAGATTCAGATGGGCTGAATAAGAAAAAAATAGGAGTATATGATGAAAAAAAAATATTTTAACAAAAAAACAACACCGAATAGACTAATAATGGAATTTTTTTTTGAGATAAGAGAGGTTGGGAAAATAAAAAGTTTGAATAGGAGTTTATTTTTTTTTTTTTGTTTGCAGGCTAAGCCGTAGCCAACCCTTGAACGAATAAGTTTTTACTTGGATAAAATTCAACAGGTGAGATTTAATAATTATCAATTTGAAATTACATTACAAAGTTATTAAATCATGGTATAATTTCACGTGCCCTACATAAGTCGGGCCAAAGAATCACGCGTTAGTGATGATTTATTACTTTATTTTATTGATCAAGAGGAAAGATTGGAAAAATATAGGGTGATAGAAGGTGATACAACTGAAAGTATATAAATTTTATATCGATCATAACGCTTTCCAATCATGATGATCTATACAATTACAATAAACCATCGAATATTCTATCTCTTTTCTATATTTAACGGTTAGAATCAATATTCAAGAATTGTGGCAATCTTGCGTGAGTTTTTAAAAATCTCTGAACCAGGTGAGCAATAGAGGTAATATGAGAATGTTACAATCTCGAACCCTCGACGCTGGACTCATCTCATAATCAAAGATTTCATTGCAGTGATAAAAAAATCACAAACCTAAAATATAATAATAAGTCCAATGATAAATTTGTTAAAAATAGTGGCTTAAAAAAAAAATTTATTTCAAATCACTTACCGAGAACTCACAATCGAATGCTAAATATTCTTGAACAAAAATAAACAAAACTGCAATTGAGTAAAAAATAAAATATGCAGAAGAGCATACCAATTCAGCCTATATTATCAAATAAGTCCAGTGAAATCATTCACGCCTACTACATCGACACCCCTAGCGCGAGCTTTTACCCTGAGGTTTCGATCATTTGTAAGCAACACAACTATTTCATTTTTATAATCGTTATTATTCCTTTCTTCATTGGATTTATCGCGAGTACCATGATTTTCGTGATGCTTCGCATGCCATAAGCAGATGCCCAAAATAAGGTCGTCCAAATTTTTCTTCTTGTCTTCACCATCACCAAAATCAAATTCCTCGCTAAAATTAATATTAGGTAAGTAATTACCCTTGCTCGTTTGTATTTTAATTTTCTTAGACTTGTTAATAGATGATATGATTTCTTTGAGGTATATGAGCGCTTCATATGCAGCATGTCCGAGAGGCGAAGGATTAAGTTTTAATCCATCCAACTCAGTAATAACTAACGAAATATTAAATAAGCCGCTTGTTTAAATAAAACTTAAGGAAACATATATAATGTAGGTTGATTATTATACGTACCAACTAAAGGCACAACAATAATCCACTTTTCACTTTGAATAAGTTTTTTGACCATTTCAAGATCTCCGATAAGATAATTAGTATCGACAACAATTGTGGTATATCCAGGAGCAACTCTGCAGAGAACAGATGATTCCTTTTTCTCTGAGGCTGTTCTTTTAACCTTCCTAGATTTTTTTGACGAGAATCTCGCTGTTTTATAATTATGTACATCGTTGCGACTTACGGCTAAAAGAGTCTCTAATTCTTGACGACGAGACTAACATGAAAATTTTCATGAATGGCAAAATAAACAACATTAATTTAACATTTGAAATATATAGAAATTTGCATACTTTTAATTCCATTATTCCTTCATCGTCGTCTTCACTATATTCTTCGAAAGTAGATTCTGTAGTTTTTAATATAGCATTATCATCTTCTTCAATAGACAACTCCAAAGTTTGATGTACTATATCGTTAACTTCATCAGATTCCATATTTTTATTTAATTCAGAAGATGCAGTGAATGATTCTTCTTTAATATCAAAATCGAAACCGTTAACTTTCTATAAGAAAAATTTAACCAATAATTATTTATTTGAACGACCCTACAGTCAAAAAAAGGCTAATATATATGATAAAACGTACCTTAGTTAATATGTACCCTAATTCCATTATTCTAACTCTTCTACGAATTTTTTCATCCTGATCCAAACTAAAGTTACATTCAACGTCATTAGAGATATTTATGATATCCTCCACGTCTGTGTCAACAAAGTTGATATTAAGTTTACTTGCACTTTCAAATAAATTGTGTTGGTAAATTGATTGTAACAATGAAATTCCACGCAATTCCCAATCTTCAGTTAATGGTGGAGGTTGAATTTGAATGGACCTATGTTCGGGGTCACTGTTTACGGAATCTAATATTCTTTCTTTGGTTAAAGGAGTAATTTGATGTGCGATCTTTGTAATGAAACGGGCAAGAATTCCCCAAGTCCCAGGAAGGATTAGCTTTTGTATTACACTCCTCCAAACACTATTGCCTGCTTCGGTAAGATTATTGAATATTCCGCTTGCTACTATCCAAAGCAATATTATCTCACAATACAGAAGCCACCCTTCGGAAACATCAGGTTCATCTTGACAAATATCGGACTCGAGATATTTCAACATAAATTGGTTCATAATAATAAAAGTAATCTTAGATTCTTGAGCAAAGGCTGGATCGACGTCTAATAGTTCCATGTCATTCGCGTTTTTTATTGTTTGCAACTTGATAGCTTGACCAATGGTAGACTTTTCATTATTGCCGTAATTGTATAAGCTTGACAAATTAATGACTGCTAGGAACAAATAAAATTCTATCCAACATTTGTTACTGTCTGTGCTTTGAATAGCGCTCATTTTGAACAATTTATCCAAAAAAATTTGAAAGTTTTCATCAAAACGCTCAAGTCCAATCTTTGTGAAGAGCATTCCATGAAGCCGAACAAATAGACTCTCAATAGATTGGTTATCCAAAAGATTCCTAGTCTTCAAGTTGTCTTTCTGCAAATATCCACGGTTTCCTTTTGGATTTTGCTTGACGCTGCCTACTACAAGTTGTCGATTGGATTCAAACAACGCGATGAGAGATTCACGAGCATTCATGAAAGGAGTATTAACCATGAGGCTTGAATAAAAGCTTTTAGTTATTATTGTTCTTTACATCCAAAGAGAAATAAAAATGATGTAATTTATACCTTCGACAATAATAATAAAGTGTTCTAAGTTCGTCTTGACCTGCCAGAATGGCCAAATGATTATAAAATTTTCCTAGATAGTTAAAAAGTTAAAGACAAAAACAATTATACCTTAAACTAGCAATAATGCTGAAACGTTGATCTTTACCATTATTCGAGTTGAGGTGAATTCCCAACCGATACCAACGTGAAGCACTCACGGCCCAAAATTCTTTGGCCTTCTCGTGATCTCCTATACCATAATTCCATCGATATCGAGTAATGTCCCCTAAACAGCTAACGCAACGTATCCACCTTGGAGGTTTATTTTTCTCGATTGATTTATTCGATTTTGTGTCGTTGGCAATCTGTTTTAGTAATCGTTTATAAAACAATTCCGCTTCATTCAGAAATATATTGAATTTATTCAAAGTAACAAGTGATAAAGATGACCTATTTTTAGATCGATGTCTATCAAGATTAATTGCTTGTCGAAATTGATCGATCAAAGAATAGAATCCGAATTTCCAACATTTCGTTTCAATGTCTTTTTTGACAGAACTGTGGTAGTTAAGATGAATATGCTCAAAATACTTGTTAGCCAATCTGTAAAACAAATTAATAAACATAAGTGTTTGAAAAATTAAAAATATTTGTCAAAAAAAAAAAAAAGCCGAAAACCTACGATAAATGTAATGAAATTTTTTCCTGCCAGAAGTTTTCATCACAAGTTTTAATGATTGAATCGCTGTTGTCGCCATTCATACCCTTGTTAAATTGAATAGAAGCTTCAGAAACCTTTTTTTCCAGTTGAACAAGTTCTTTTGTAAGTAATTTTAAGGCTTCCAATTTAGGATCTTGATTCGTAACTTCTTTACGTTTTACGTCTTTACGGCGATTCGAATCGTTTGTTGTGCTTTTGGTCATAAGTGCTTCGTTGGCACTATTTGCACGTGAATGCTTGCTAGATTTCATTTCATAGTTTTCTGTTCGCCGCAATTGCTGTCCAAAACTCGTCTCTTGCCAGCTGTTAATCATTTGATCAGTGTAAGGATCATACAGTTTGCCGATTGAAACTTGACCTTCACGAGGTACAAAATCGTCTTTGGTTAAACTAGGCTTTTTCCTTGCCAAACTTTCAACCTGTGGACTGTACAAACGACGAGTAATCGATTGCTCAACGTCGTGTTTGTATTCGTCAAGATCATTGTTGTCAAATTTTATTGAAGTCTTAATATTCGTAGACCGTTTTGATCTAATATTGTTTTTCTCCATTTTATTGTTTACTTTACGAAGCCGAAAATTATTGAAATATCTATAAAGTTTTCATTTTGGAGGGTTGTTCAATTTCCATTTAAAGCTAGTATGGAATTAAACAAACATTAATAAATGATAAATTCGATCAAATTTTTTATTTTTGATATAAAAAAAATTTATTGGATATGTTACCTATGTCCCGAGATGGTAAAATAAAATTTGCGATTTACTAATAAATTCAAGCCGCTTTTAAATTAATCGTTTTTTCTTATTTACAGATTATGACAACGCTAAAGCTTCGAAAGTACGAATTTCTTGTATGGTAAAAGCAACCTTTTAATATATTCCGTTCTTGTAGGAAGAAAAAAAAAGAATTAACTTTAACTTTTTTTTAATACTTAGAAACGATATATGCGATTGACGTGGTTTCGAGTATTAGCCTTGTTATGTATATTATTATTATTTGTAACTTATAATCGAAGGAACGTTGGTTTGACTTCATATGAAGAGCCAATTTTTGATAAAGAATCTTTTGATAAAACTGAACAGACACCTATAGAAACACCAGCTCAATCTTCAGCACATTCAATAGTTCATGTTAATTGGCAAGAACGTCAAAATACCGTTCGAAAAGCATTCAAGCACTCTTGGGATGGTTATGTTCGTGATGCATGGGGATGTGATGAGTATCATCCAATCTCTCATAGAGGGTCGAACCTTACCGAAATTGGAATAGGTTTTACGATTGTTGATTCCATAGATACACTATTGATAATGGGCCTGAACGATGAATATCAACGTGCTCGTGAATGGGTTGCAAATAGCCTGGATTTTGACCAAAATTACAAAGTAAATGTTTTTGAAACAACAATTCGTGTTCTTGGAGGATTGCTAAGTGCATACCATTTATCTGGTAATGATACCCTATTTTTATCCAAAGCAATTGATTTGGGGGATCGTCTTCTAGGTGCCTTTGCTTCTTCGTCAGGAATTCCATTTGCATATGTTAATTTGGCTTTGGGGAAAGGTATTGTATCACATTTCTCTGGAGGTTTGAGTTCAACATCTGAAGCTGCGACATTACAATTGGAACTTAAATATCTAAGCTATCTTACTGATAATAAGGAATATTGGAAAAAAGCCGAAGAGGTTATGTTTGCAATTGATTCACTTGACAAGGCCGACGGGTTGGTCCCAATATTCATAAAGTATGCAAAATATATATACATGTATAGATTTATCTTTTATTGTTTTTCAAAAAGATTTGAGGAGATAATTAAGTTTAAATTATGATTTTATAATAGCCCAGATGATGGAAAGTTCGTCGGGAAAACCATTACATTGGGTGCTCGTGGTGATAGTTATTATGGTATTTTGACCTTATGATTTGTTATAATCATTTTGTTTAATAGGTGTTCATTTTTAAAAAAATTTTTTTTTTTTTTTTTTTTAATCAAAAGAATATCTTCTGAAACAATATTTGCAGACATCCCGAACCGAACCTATTTATCGAAGGATGTACGATCATTCGATGAATGGTGTAAAGATGCGTCTCGTTGATTATTCATCCCCTTCAAAGCTTTTGTATATCGGAGAACTTATTGGTCTTTATGATAGTTTAAATTCAAAGATGGATCATTTAGTATGTTTTATGGGTGGCAACTTGGGATTAGGAGCTACACTTGGAAAATCTATACGTGAAATGGAACATCTTAGTTTTAAAGAATTGGAGGATTTGAGGTTAGGAAAAGAACTGACAAGGACTTGTGCAGAAATGTATTTCCAAACGGCAACAGGATTGGCGCCAGAAGTTGCACATTTCACAAGTTTATCTGATTCATCAAACAATGCAAAAGATATATATATAAAAAGGTTAGAAAGTCATAATTTGCTTAGACCCGAAACTGTTGAAAGTCTATTTATATTATGGAGATTGACGGGCGATGTTCAATATCGGTAAGTGTCGTAACCTTTTTTTTTTTTTTAAAAAAAAAAAAAAATGTAAATTTTACCAATTTGACAAAAAAAAAATCATTTTACTTGCTTGATCACTACAGTGAATGGGGGTGGAAAATATTTGAAGCTTTCGAGAAATATGCAAAGTTTGAAGATGGTGGTTACACTTCCCTTGACGACGTTACGTCTATTCCGCCTGGTAGAAGAGATAAAATGGAAACGTTCTGGCTGGTTAGTGAATTTAATTCTTATTTTCGCTTTTCCGTTTTTAAAAAACTCGTTTCATTGATATTTTTTTTTCATTAGGCCGAGACTTTAAAATATCTTTATTTGTTGTTTGGTTCAAATGATCAAATTCCACTTGATAAATATGTATTTAATACCGAAGCACATCCATTACCTATCTTTACCCCATCACGAAAAATCAGAGGACAAGGGTGGAGTCGTCAATAAGACAAAAAGTTTTAATTACTTAATAATAATAATAATTATAATTATTTATATTATAATAATTGTTTCATATCATATAATGATGTAATTTATTATAGATTAATTTATATTAATAGAAAAAAATAAAACAATTGATGAATATTTATATATTTGTTTTATTATTCTTTTTTTTTTTTTTTTGGTTAGTATTCCAGCCAAAAAAAAAAAATTTTTTTTTGGGAATGATGTTAATTTAATTTAATGAAATGATTCCAATAAAGTCACTTTTTACACCTATCACCCATACCCATATGTAAAATATGAATCCCAAATCTAAATTCCAAATAGAAAATAGAAATCGAAATTTTAGGATAATAACCAAACAAAAATTGATGATGAAATGAATGACAGATAAATATATTATTTTATATATATGTGCAAAGAAAAAAAAAAAAAAAATACTATGAATAATAATTAAAAATATAAAATAATAATAATAAAAAAAAAACTTTTCTCAGAGAATACTTTTTTTTTTATGATTATTCCTTTATAAGAATATAAGTAATAATTTAAACCTATCTCTATAAATGAGTATATACTAATAGATATTGTATTTTTCCTTGAATTCCTTTATATGTAAATATTTAAGTAACAAATTAACCCCCGTCGCAATTTTTTTTCTTGGAAAAAAAAAAACAGAACAAAATAATTAAAAAAGGGGGGGGAACGATACTAGTAGTGTATAAATAATTTTTAAGAATAAAAAAAGCATATTTTCTTTTTTCAAAAAATAAAAAATGCTTTTTTTATATGGAATTGTACAATAAAGAATATATTATCCTTTAAAACAGAAATAAATACTTTCTCTTTTTTATATATTAAAACCTACATTTAATTTTTCAATGTTTTTATGTATGTAACTAAAATAAACTACATAATTATTATTAAAATAGGCAGGTATATAAATGTATATATAAAAGTTAAAGATTTCACAAGAAAAAGCAAAAGTACAAAGGAACAAAGGAAAATTAAAAAAAAAAAAAAAAAACGAGAAAAAAAACCCCCCAACAAAAATACATTTTTTTTATTTTTTCCAGGGAAAAAAAATCTCGTCTATGATTAAATAAGTCTACATGTATATAATAAAACGATTTAGGGTTTTGCATGCGTTGATGATAGATAATATATATTTAAATAATGATGTTAATTAAAAAAAAAAAATTTTAATAAATAAATATAATTATTAATGTTTTGTAAACTAAATTAGTTACCAAATTATAATCCATTTTCACGGTTCATTTAATTCACGCAAGAATACTGTATCTGATTCATGCGTCCGTGGAGCAAAATTCACTGGTTGAATTTTCTCCTTGAAATTCCTCGAAGGCTAATGAAATCAAAAGTAAAATTATTAATAATTCCTGCAAGAATTCTTTTAGCTCGATGAAATTTAAAAAATTATTTTATCTACCGTAAGTTTCCATTTTCTAAATATCCAAATACCAATTGCGGCAGCAACAACAACGGTAGCTACAACAATGGCGGCAGTAACAACACTACCACCTGCATCATTTGATTCTGCATTCTGATTAGATTCTTTTGGTTTTTTTGGAACTGGTACTCCAGTAGCGGGACCACCAGAAACTGTAGAAAATGTTGTAATTGTTATGGCACCACCATCAGGTTGCTTTGGCTGCGGTTGTTTAGGGTTATCCTTGGGATCATTTTTAGGTTGTGGTTGTGGGTCTGGATCATCAGCCTTTGGTTGTTTAGGATCTTTTGGTTGCGGTGGAGGTTGAGGTTGAGGTTGTGGTTGAGGTTGTGGTTGTGGTTGTGGTTGTGGTTGTGGTTGCGGTTGAGGTTGAGGTTGAGGTTGAGGTTGAGGTTCAGGATCAGGATCAGGCTGCTTTGGGTCCTTTGGTTCCTTTGGTTGTTCCTTTGGCTGTTCCTTTGGTTGGTCCTTTGGTTGGTCCTTTGGCTGGTCATCCTTTATCAATATATAAATAAAAATTTAATTAATTATAATTCTCAAACTGAATGTTTTATATCAATTCCGTTATCGAATATAAATTTTATGATAACTGAAATTCTATCCACAAAATTTTAAATAAATGTTATTCGAAAATAAATGTATGTCCTATATTATATCAAAATGCCTTTTTTCATTCTTATTTTTAAATATACTATTCAAATAACCACGTTTGCAAAGTTGGCTTTAATTAAAAATAAGTTTCTCCAAAATGTTTTTTGAAAGATTAAATAGAGAAGAAAAAAAATTTTTTTTTGAAATAATACAGAACAAACTTACAGGTGGAAGGTTATCTTTGGGCGCCTCTTGTTTTGGTTCCTTTGGTGCAGCGTCTTCTGGTGCTTTCTCTGGTTGTTTAGTTTCTGGTTGTTTTGCATCGTCTGGTGCTTTTGGGTCTTGTGCATTTGCAACAGGAAAAGCAACACTCACAAGGAATAAAGCGACAAGTAGGAGTAAAAGATATATCGAGATGCGTCGTGTTGACGCCATTATATGGAATGTACTATAATGGGAAAAGGTAAGAAAAAGAGAGGATATTATTTAATTAAAAGCTTTTTTTTTTTTTTTTTTTTTTTTTATATATTATTGGGAATTATTATTTGGTAGAATTAAAAAAAAATATAAGAAAGTTGAAACTTTTGAGAACTTAGGTTTTCTCCGTTTAGTAAATACCTACTTGTCGCACTATGCAACATAATATTATTTGTTGCACCTTAAATAAATTTGTTAAATAATCATTTTTCCACATGTGCGTGACGTTATTTTTATAATTCTACCCAAAATCGCTTAAAAGTTGGTAGTGATGATATTACGAATAGATAAATTGAAGTTGTACGATAAAAAAACATCTAAAATTGGACGTTGTACTAGGTTTTTGTTTTCTTTATATATATTAAAACCAATCATCATAAAAAAACTTCAATAATATTAGTAGGTTCCTTTGGATTCATTATGTCGGATATTGTAAAGATCCGATGATTAATTTGATAGGCGGTGTTTTAATAATAATAATGAACCACTTATTCTGAAAATCGACCAAAAACGAATGAAAAAAAAAAAGTTTTTTTTTTTTTTTTTTTGAAAATGAAAATTTTTTCATATAATATAACGATAATATTGTTATTTTGACTTTTTTTTTATGACACGAGGGATATTAAAAAGGTAACGATAAACATTTATTAATTAAATGGAATTGGATTATTCTATTAATAAATGAATTTTATGTAATATTGTCAACTATGAAAAATTCGTAATTTGTTCAAATCATTTAATTATATGCTGAGATGTTCGTTATAGATTTGCATCGTGTAAACTAAAAATTACATGTTCAAATCGTTATAGATTATATTTCAGCAACTTTATCCTTTTAATACCTTTCAATTGCTCAATTATAAAATCTCGAAAAAATAAGAACATGGTGGTGTCAGCAGTCTCTTGGATCTATAAATTGTTCTCATCAAAGTATTAAAAATACGGATAAAAAACTTGAACTAACAAAATGAAATGAGGGCTCAAATAAAATAAAAAAAGCAGAGTTCTCGAAATCTTAAAACGTATATAATCCTAAAAAGTTAATGTTTAGGCTAAAAAAAGTATTCAAAATAAAAAATAATTCAGGAAAATCGTTGATAAAATTATACCTTTTCTAATTTTATCTCAATATAGAATGAATTGAAATACTAAAATGGAATTCATTTTGACAATGAGAAAGAATTAATTTATTTACTTTGGAAAGTTATTTTTTTTTGTTTCTATTTATAGTTGGTGAATTAAGAATTTTTTCGTATTACATTTACCCTTCCAATTTCGAAATGAAGGATATCATGCACATATTTATGAATAGATTACTGTTTTTTAATAAATAAATAAATTATAATTCTTTTATTGATTTTATTTATTAGCCTACCTATCATCATTATTAGTTTCCAAAAACTAAGCAAAATAAAAAACATAATTATCTTATAATGAAATACGGTTTTCGTAGCGAGTTTCATATTTAACTCGTTTCAAATTTACTCACGAATCACAAAGTTTTCAACTCGACATGTTTAACTTTTAATATTCGATCAGAAAATAATACTAAAAAAAAAAAACTAATACTGTTAGATCATAGTAGGATAAAAAAAAAAAGCTGGATATTAAAACATTTATTCTTTCTTTTTTATCAATACTGTAGGAAAATTCATGATTTCTGCTCTCGTTTCATTTTTTACTATTGTAATAATATTTTAAAAGACGTGTAACCTTACAAGTTTGCCAAAGTGCAAATGATTTTATATTTTTTATTACGCTTGTATTCTCAATTTTCTTGGTGAAATGATTATAGGTGATCACGCAGGTCGCAGGTCCTACGGATGAAGTCAATCTATCTTCGAAAGATGAGAAAGAATAAACACTCGGGAAGAAACTCAAATTTCACATGATAATTAAATATGTTATTAAATTAAAGATAATGATATTAAAAAATTTCCCAATTAGAATCAAAAGAAGATAATGAATTATTCATCATCTAAAATTCCGTCAATCTTGTAAACAACCCCATTTTCGGCTTCCAACCTTGAAATCGTATTTATCCTTCCATTTAATTTATAAGAACCGTCCTCATTCTTTTTCACCTTAATTTTTGAACCCTCTTTAAGGGTATCTAACAGTTCATCATCCGAAAGAGATGAATAAACTGATGGCACAACATATCTTAAAGCGAATTGTTGTACTTTTTCTATTGGATCTTCTGATTGACTCGTAACTTGACTTGGTTTGTGAGTTAAGTTACGAAAAACTGAATTGGTAGGTGCAAAGAGTGTGAGGGATATATCTGGATTTGCGATGAGAATAGACTTAAATTACAAAAAAAAAGGAGGGGTTGGTCTTTATTTTTCTTTATTTTTTTTAAAAAAAAAAAGACTATCCTTTAAAAAATTTCATAATTACCAGGTCTTTAGACGCTTTCAAGAAATCGACGAAAATTGTTAGATCTCTTTCTTTGGGTAATATATCATCTAAAGTAAGAGGTCCCGTTAAAATACTTTCTTCATTGTCTTGCATATTTAATTTTTTTCTTTCATCATTATTCATGCTCCTATAAAAGTAACTTGGCTCAATCAATTGACAAAGTGTACTTAGAATACATAAGGAAAATATAAAAATAAATATGCTGCTTCTTGGTCCCATTTTCTTTACTGAAAAGAAATTACACAATTTATGAAATTTTTTTATAGTCTTGTACTTGTACCACCTATAGTCATGATTTTGTCATTAAAAAAATTCGGATGGCTAATTCTTGGCTGAATCACTTCAAATCACAAGATCGGAATAATTCCAGCCAAAATTAACAACAATTTACAAAACTACAAAAAAAAGAATGCTTTTTATTTTAAAATGATTAAATTATTTATAGTAAATTAAATTCAATAAAATGAACTCTTTATGGTAGGGTCGGTTCAACTATATAATGAGTTATATAATGTCCTCGTGATAGATTATATAATCGAGATTAAAAAAAATGTTGTTGAAATAAACGTGAAGCTTTAATTGGACATCATTTCACGTCAAAATTCTTTGTTGTGCAATTCATTGTATTGTTTTTTTTTTTTTATTAAACTCTACTCCCATTTTTTCCAAATTTGATTTTTCAAGTTTTTTTATATTAACATTTGAAAACATGTAAAAATGGAGCTCGATCATTGAGTAGATCAGAAAGCAGATTTTACCACAAGTAGATTAATCATGTTCTTCAACGAGTTTCCCTTTTCAAAAATCTTTTTACTATATAAACCCCTCAAACTAAAAAATTTTGAGGGTATATCATTTTTTTGTTAGTTTTTTTGATTTGACTGTAAAAGCATGAAATTTTCACACTCAATTCAATTCAACTCGGTCCCTGACTGGGCTGACCATTACCTTGCGTATCCTTTTGAAATAAATTTGTTTTAACTTTTTATATGTATAAACATTACACCTTTACGCAGAAGGTTTATGTTATGTAATTCTTAAATTGTATCTCTTAACAACTCTTTAATCAAACAGATACTCAAATCTCAAGAAACTTATTTATCAAATCGAGAGGGACATAGTCGCAAGTTCTATTACTGCTGCTAATGACACGGAGGTGATTTCTTCAATTACTGAACAGTCGCCATTACTGGATGCTAAATCTCGTGCAAACGCAATATTTATCCCCGCACTTGATAAAGAACTCGCAAAAATTAATGTCTTCTATTTAAATAAAGAAAAAGAATTCCTTGAAGAGGTTGAAATTTTAATTTCGGATTACGCTGCATTTGAGAATCTCGAAGATAATGTAAGCATCCACAGTAATGCCTTCAATATAAGTAGATCTTATCAGTCTGGTGAAGGTTCACTCCCTCGTAAAAAAAGTTCTAGCTCCCAACCTAAGAGAAGGTCTACTTCTGATGCTGCTGTGTCGTTCATGAGTAGTGATGATGATGAAGCTGAAAATCAATTCTCGCAACCAACAGGCGGATCGAGATTATCAACCGAAGTTGATTTTCTGGATAACCGGCTTTCTTTTTTGTGGACGCCTTCATCACTTGAAGATCAGAAAATACGATTAAAGAAACGAACCATTGAACTTTTCGTTTGGTTATCTGAACTTAAATCATTTTCTTCTCTCAACTATACAGGTTTTTCAAAAATTTTGAAAAAATACGACAAAATAACTAATAGTAGACTCAAATCATCTTATCTTAACAATGTCGTGAATGAATCTTATCCATTTAGGCATCCAACTCGTCAAAGACTCGAGGACAAGATTTCTAAAGTCCAAGAAATTTATGCTAATTTGTGTACAAATGCTAATATGGATATTGCTATTAGAGAGCTCAAAACTCATTTGAGGGAATTCATAGTTTGGGAAAGGAATACTATATGGAGAGATATTATTGGTTTAGAAAGAAAAGCACATGCCGTAGGCATAAAGGCTCCGGTTACTGTGGATCATTCACTCGAAGCAACTTCCAAAATCTCAACGCCTTTTGGTATGCTAAGTGTGTCAAGCACTTTCTGGAGGAATGTGATCATTTTGTTAATATGCGTTGGGGTTTTCGTATTCCTATTGGATGCGTCTTTTTTCAAGAGAGAAGAGCAAAGATATTGCTTTGCAATATTGATATTTTCGAGTCTTCTATGGTCAACTGAGGTAAATATTAAACTTTACTTTTATTTATTTAATTAATAGGTTTATTCACACAACAATATTTACCTTAATACAATCCATATAGGTCATACCACTCTTTGTTACTTCGCTTGCAGTTCCTTTATTGGTCGTTTGTTTACGCGTTCTACGTGATGATCAAAATAATCGTCTTGGTGCAAAGGATGCAGCAAGACAAATTTTTCAAACAATGTTTTCACCAGTTATTATGTTGCTCTTGGGAGGTTTCGCTATTGCGGGTGCATTAAGCAAATATCATATAGCAAAAATGATGGCAACTTTTGTGTTGTCTAAAGCTGGGACGAAACCTAGATTTGTGCTTTTGGCAAATATGTTCGTCGCCACTTTTGCAAGTATGTGGATAAGCAACGTTGCGGCACCAGTGTTATGTCTGTCACTTATTCAAGTATGTATGAAATAAACATCGAGCTCTAGAAATATTTTCTAAAAATTGATTTTTTGATTCAAATGATTATCATAGCCAATCCTCAGACCCTTACCGCCTAATAGTAATTTTGGACGTTGTTTAATTCTTGGGATCGCCCTAGCTTCGAACGTTGGAGGCATGGCATCCCCCATCTCATCTCCTCAAAATATTATCGCAATTGGCATCATGGAACGATCTCCTCCTACGTGGATTCAATGGTTCTTTATTGCAATTCCTTTGTGTATCATTATCGACCTTTTGATATGGCTCTTACTTCTTTGGAATTATGAGCCAACGAAAAATTCTTCGATAATTCATCCTATTAGGTCGTCGAAGGACCCATGGACTGGAACACAAATATTTGTAATTATAGTGACGGTGATTACTATCCTCCTTTGGTGTATAGAAAAAAGGTTGGAATCCTTTTTTGGTGATATGGGAGTTATTGCTATTTTGCCATTGGTTTTATTCTTTGGATCAGGTATCCTCACCAAGGAAGATTTCAACAACTTCTTATGGACTGTGATTATACTTGCTATGGGTGGTATAGCTCTTGGTAGAGCTGTGCAGAGCTCCGGATTATTACATACAATTGCTAAAAGTATACAAGCAATGGTTGGAGATTTACACCCATGGCACGTCTTGGTAATTTTCTCAACACTGGTACTCGTGGTAACAACATTCATTAGCCATACTGTTGGCGCTTTGATTATTTTACCCATCGTTTTTGAAATTGGCGTAAAATTAAGTGACCCACATCCAAATTTACTGGTTATGGTTTGTATTATCTCTATACTTTGTAAATTTCATAATCAAAGAAATCGTAATTAAAGGATTTATTTGTTTACATTATTATAGGGATCGGTGTTGATGTGTTCATCAGCCATGGGTTTGCCTATCTCAGGTTTCCCTAATATGAATGCGATCATGATGGAAGACGAGATGGGTGTTCGATATTTGTCCACAATGGATTTTATAAAAACCGGGGTTCCAGCATCTATTCTTGCGCTGGTTACCATTGTTACAGTTGGTTATGGAATAATGTCGTTACCGCTTATAGGATATTAAATATTAGTTATTTATTTTATTTTATAATCATGTTTCAAATAATATTTAGAGGACACGTTTTGCTTATTATTGCATATGCAGAACGAACATCTTATCAAATTAAGAATTTAATTAAAAAAAAAAATCATTAATTAATTTAAAAAAAAATAAATTTTAATTTCGGACTATCTAAATAAATACTAGTACCCCTTTTCTCTTTTTCATATAAAGATGCGATGTGATCGCTAGGGTCTATTACGGTATATACGAAAAATGTCATTAAGAACTCTCTTTTCATGTTCCCGAATTATTTTGCGCTCACAGACTTCTCACATCAAGTTATCACAACAACAATTATGTTTTCACAGTAGTCCACAACGTTATGCATCCGATGCATTTCTACTCAAGGAATCGGGCAAATATTCCTTTGCACATTCAACGCCACCACCTCCTCATATACAAAAGGTTTTTGAAAGAACTCAGAAAGAATATCCCTCAGAAGAACATATGATGTCACCACATTTACAAGGATCTTTATTAACTACTCTTTGTAAAATAATGAATGCGAGTAAAGTATTAGAATTAGGTTGCTTTACAGGTTATTCGGCATTATGTTTAGCTGAGGGTATTAAAGATAATAAAGGAAAAGTTATTAGTTGTGAAAAAGATGAAAAGTTTGCCAAATTTGCTTTACAGAATGTGAAAGAAAGCAATATGGAAGACTTTGTTGAGATTAGGGTTGGAGATGGTTTGAATACGTTAGTATCTATGAACTGTACAATCTTTTTGATCTTTATTCGGGAATATGTAACGTGAAATCATTTTTATTTTTAAAGGTTACAAAGCATTAAAAGATCCACCCATTTTGACTTGATCTTTATTGGTAGGGAAACATCTGCAAATTATTTTTCCCTTTTTTTTACATTAAAAATTAAAAAAGAAATATAAAATGTTTTAGATGCGAACAAATCAGGATACGTCGATTATTATGAAACAATTCTCGAACGTGACCTTCTCTCTAGCAAAGGAGTTATCATAGCCGACAATGGTATATAATTTATTTATAATTGTTTATAATTTATTTCAATGAAAAGTAAATATATATACTTATTCTCGTATTTCGTGTAAAATTGTTTAAAGCGCTTTTTTTTGGATTTGTGCAAAAAGTACCTCATTATGATCCGAATGCACCAGAAACCAGTGAAAATCATATACCGAAACCTTTGTATGAAATGGCAAAGAGTTTAAACAGGTTTAATGAACACGTTACAAAAGATCCAAGAACTACAAATGTATTGGTGCCCGGTTTCGATGGGTTAATGTTCATTCGCAAGGTTTCTCAATAGGACAACCATTTCCTTTTATAATTTTCCTCGTATTTGAAATTTTTTTTTTTTTTTTTTTTTTTTTTTTTAAAAAAATATTTTCACACGATTTATATCGTTAATATTTAAAGAAAAATTTAAAGAAGCTAGCGAAAAAAGTATTATTACAATGTAAATTTATCATTTAATAAACTGCAATATTATTTGTTTCATTTTTAAACTAAGATAATAAATAATTGTTATAATTATTTTACAAATAAAATATAAAATTTTATCGTTATAAAAAAATTATATTTATATTATAATCAAATAGGGGCATTTTATTTTTGAAGGATCATCTATTATCCAACTTTGCAAATGAAACGTAAATCTTCCACCTTTAGAACGGGTATATAGCAATCATGTATGGTATGGATTTTTATGTATGGAATGTATGGTTTGTATGACAAATACAGTATTTCTAATTAAATTCTTCAAATGCAAAATTTTCTTAAACCTAACACCTGATTTTACTCATTAAAATATAATGAATTAAACAAAACAATTACCAACGCGACTTATTATTTTTCTTTGTGTTCAAATCAAATCCGATCATTTTTTAAGATAATTGAAAATGTATCTAACGATGAAATTATAAAATTTTAATATATAAATATTCAATACCGATATGGATTGAAAATTGAAAATTCCATACCAGTATGGTTTTTGCGGCAAATAATCATACCGGTATGAAAAAATCATACATAAATTGGAACCATACATTCCATACATAAAAATCCATACCATACATGATTTAATAAAAACCTTCATGAGTTCGTATATCCCATCAAACTCATCACTGGCACTAAGATCAGAATTGAGTGAGTTTCATTCTATGATAGCTGATGAAGATGTGTGAATGAAATGGAATATGCTAACAATACTTATCTTTATTTGGCGTTCTAAAGCCTCTTCGACTGTAAGCAGTATCATGGATGGAATGGATCGTGTTTAGACACTAACTGATAAAATTTTTTTCATACAATTGTGGTAGTAATACGTCATCACCAACTTATTACTGTGACATAATTTATTGGATGAAAAATCGATAGTAACGCTACTAACGCATTATTATTTACCTGATTTAGTATATCATAGGTAATATCTGACTCATCACTCATATTATAAATCCCCAATACTTTGATCAGAGTTTGATCAAAAGTTAGCAAGTGAATTACCTTTTTTTCTCAAAAAAAAATTTAAGAAATTAAAATTAATAGAAGGTATATTATTTTGTTTGTTTATTTATTTACTTGTATTTATTTATACGTTCATTCAATTATTTGTTTGTTTGTTTGTTTGTTCATTTTTTGTTCATTCATACCTTTTTTTGTAAAAGTTTCTATGACGAAAATCTACTGGTTTTAGAGGAGGAACTGGTTATGTATCTTTTTTCATAACAAACAGAGAAATTTTTTTATTCATTCATTCATTTGTTCTGTCATTCATTCATTTATTTATTCATTCGTTCTGCTATTCATATATTTATTCATTTATTCATTCATTCTATCATTTATTTATTCATTCTGTCATTCATTCATTCATTCTGTCATTCATTTATTCATTTATTCAATCATTTATTCATTCATTCATTTGTTCATTTATTCATTCGTTCTATTATTCATTCATTCATTTATTCATTCGTTTCATCATTCATTCATTTATTCATTCATTTATTTATTTATTCATTTTGTCATTTATTCGTTCACTTATTCATTTATCCATCTATTTCATTCCAAGTGAAATTCAGGCAGTTTGTTGTAATAGCGAAAGATCTGTATTTATCAGCGTTAATGGTGATGATTATTTAATCAGAATAACAAGAGAAGAGCTAGTGCAGTTTATATCTATTATTTCACAGAAAATCAATTTCACATTCTAAAAAAAACTAAGTAATAAGTATGTATAAGTGATTTTTAATTTCTCCTAAAAGATCATTACTTTTTCAATTATTTCTTTTTAATTATTAATTAAATGCTTTTAAATGTTTTTTAGTTTTATATATGTACACTTTCTGACAATAGAAGAAATTAAAGATTTCTTAAAGCAAGTACAAAACCAACTTATCAATAGACCCTATGGTATAAAATTAACATTTTTTCAATCAAAAAAAGTATTAATAACACCTATACTGCAAAGATAATTTTAAGACATTTATAAGACTTTTATTTATGTTCTCACAATACTCCTTTTTTTCTAGAATTCGGAATGTACACAAAGATTTTATGCTTCATCTGCTGATTTGGCTCCTTCTTCATCCCAATCTATAATCAGTCTAAATGGAAAGAGTAACAGTACTAATGATTTTCCTAATTATAAATGGCCCTTAGATCAAGATTCAATTTTTAATGAAAGTCCTTTAGATCAAGATTCAGTTTTAAATAAGAATCATAAAACTAATCATGTTATATCTTTAGGATATAACTTATATAATATAAATGGATTTGTATTTATTCTGATTAAATATAATTTAAATTATTAATATTAAATATTATATACTGATATTTTTCCTTATTGCAAAGATCTTTTTTACTCAAGATGAACACTCCTGAAATTGAAAAGAGCTCAGATCTAGAAATTTTTATTGAAGATAATAATAATCAAATAACCATTAAAGACAACTTAAAATTCCTAGAAGAAGATTCTAATCTGATAATTCAGCTTTTGCCATTCATATTCAAAATTCAAGTAGATTTTTTATCAAAGTAAGTTGTTAAATGATTATATTTCACAAGTCTTGCAAATATTTAAAATTGATATACCATTTCTTGAATAGGATCAATGCTTCTAATTTATCAAATATTACTATTAGAAATAGTGTAACTATAATTTTGTTGAGAAAATTTAACAAACGATAACGTTTTTTAATTGAATAACTAACATAAATTTTAAATTTATTACTGCCAATTTAATTAAAATAATTTGCTTGAGATTTTTTTGAATTTTTTTTTATTTTTTAAAAAAGGTAAACGTGATAAAAATCTTTTGATATCAATTTGCAAGAAATATTTATCCCTCCCCTTGCAATTATTATAATGAAAGGAATTTCTCTTAAATAATTTAAATGAATAATACTATGAAATAAATAAAAATTTAACCTGAAACAGTAGAAAAAAACCCATAATTTCTATCTAGTTTGACATTAAATAATACTAACATTCTGATTATCTATAAATAATCTTTATAATAAAATAAAAAAAAAATCAATAACAGTAAAAAAAATCTACTTTCCTTATGAATGATTATATCAATATAAAGATCTTAATCATGAACATAATAATTCTGCATTTGTTGATTCTAGTTTAACATAGAAATATATTAGTAAAAATCCAGATAACTTAGAATTTAATATTTATAAAATGTCATAAAAAGTTTCATTTAAGTACAGGTATTTCTTCTTTAAGAAAATATCTTATGAAAAAATTTTTTAATTTATATGCATTTAGTTGTAATGTAATCTAATATCTTTTAAAAGTAATTAATTATAATTATATTTCTTTTATAAGTTATTCTAAAATCTTATATAACAAAAATTTTTATTTTGATAATTTTTTTTTATTTTTAATTTTATTTTTATAAAAAATATAATATTAACTTTTGCTTTTAAACTTAAAATTATTAAATTTAATAATAAATATATTTTATTATTATTATAATTAATTAAATTAAAAATACATATATTTATATAAATAAAAAAAATTATATTATAAAAATTATTTTATTTTATTTTCTACTTTTAAGCCAAATCTAGCTTTTTTTAAATCTAAAAAAAAATTATAATTAAATTAAATTATTTTAATTTTTATATAATAATATTTAAAATATTACTTACCAATATTAGATCTTCTTTCATCTTTAGATAATTCCATTTTAGTTTGAAATCTTTTTGGATTATT